CCGGTAGCTCCTCATTACGCCGGACGAAATGAGGAAAGAAAAAGGATGAGCTCCTAATCCGCAGCTCAGGGGCGCACCTGCCACCTACACATCCCGCATCTGGTCTGAGAGGAAGCTTCATCTCGCAGAGCCCCGGCACTGAGGTTTCTGATAGATCAGACCTGTCGTCTTCTGCGAATGGCTGAATTACAGTGCGGGATGCATGCCCGACCTCCCGGAGTGTGTGCCGTCGAAACGCGGGCCCGTCGGGGAAGGGACAGCATCCTGCCAACTGGAAGGGAGATGTAAGGGAAGACCCTGATGATGAAGGGAGGAGATCGAGGGGAGAGACGAGAGAGAGCATGTGGCCTGAGCGAGGGCCGAGGGAAGGGGTCCCCACACCTGGGGCCATGGATCGGTATCGGTCCAAGCGAGCAAAGCTTCGTCTGTATCTGCAGCCGCTCCCCAGAGCCAGCATCACCGCCTCAGCTCCGCCTCAGATCCTCAGGCGTTAGATTCTCAAAGGAGCACTGGTCCCTGGTGCCTAAAACACTAGGGACTGCTGGCCTAGGGGATGGAGAAGGTCTAGGGGGCAAGTGTGACTGACGAGCGCCTGGGGTCTGTCCGTATTGTCCCCAGAGGGGGAGCCAAGGTGGGAGCATGCAGGGAGGGGCAAGAATGTACCAGACAGTTTTTGGAGCAGCAGGTAGGATGAGTGTGTGTCTGGAGGGATCTGGGCGGGGGGAGGAGCCTAGCTCTGGAGGAGCCTAGCTCCGCCACAGCTTATACCTCTTCCCCCCAAAGTCAGCTCACTCTTGGTCTGACCTGCACCCTGTTGCTGCATCCAGCTGGCCCCCTGCCCACCTCCCCCTCTCTCTGGCTGGTCGCCAACTCAGTGCCCAGCAGCTTGTCAGGAAGAGTCCGATATTTTACTGGCTAGCGCCTGCCACAGTCTCATGGGGACCGGCAGAGCAGTCTAGACTCCTGGGTCAGAGACAGGATTTCATTACTCACGGCACAACGGGCAGCATGAGCTTCACGCTCGCATCGGTTCCTCCCAGTCCCGTGAGGGCGACCGGAGCCTCCATGCCGGATTCGGTACACACAGTGGTTTGAGCCACGGCTGAGGTCTTGAGCTTAGGAATCTTCAAACTTGTAAGGGGGGCTGCTGGCCCGCTTGCCCGGCCTTTGTCCCCGAAGGAGATATCATCTTCATTGTCCTGGTCCACAAGCAATCCCGCTCTGGGGGGACGTATATTGATTGTCCTGGACAATAAACCAATCTCTTCTGGAGAGATATTATCTTTATTATCTTGGACAGTAAACCAACCTTCTCTGAGGGTGCTGCCGTATTGAAAGACTGTCTGATAGACAAACAACCTTGACAGACAGTCCAGGGTAAAGAAAAAAATGTAGGCATTTCTTTGCCCTGAAGACATGAGACAGACCCCTGGAGAATTTTCTTCCAAGGTCATTCAGCTCTGACCCTCCACCCTTCTCTGCAAGACATCCACTCTTTCTTTCTCTTTCTTTCTTTCTTTCTTTCTTTCTTTCTTTCTTTCTTTCTTTCTTTCTTTCTTTCTTTCTTTCTTTCTTTCTTTCTTTCTTTCTTCCTTCCTTCCTTCCTTCCTTCCTTCCTTCCTTCCTTCCTTCCTTCCTTCCTTCCTTCTTTCCTCTCTCTCTCTCTTTCTCGTATCCCTCATCCACCACATCTGTGTTCCCTGTGATCACCAGGGACTGGAGCCCACATCCCAACAATAGGGCAGCGGAACGTGTTCCTTCAATCTATACGTGACGGTCCTGCCCTGGTATGGGCGTCCGTGTGTGTGGATGTGGCTTTGACCTTGCAGGGGTAGATCCGTGGTTTCCCCGTGCAGAGGCTCAGAGTCCTTTGACCTTGAGAAATTCGTTTGGTAGTTTTGCATAGTGTAGTTCCGTGTGTGTGCATACACACACGCATGTGCGTGTTAGGTGTGCAAGGCCTTACCTGTCTATTACCTGCCTGCATGTGTGAACCGTGGCCCCCATAAGTGAAACCTGGTGAGTGATCTTGAACATCCAGTACTCGATTTGGGGGCTGATCTACAGGGGGATAAGTACATCCTGCCCTGGCCACCTGTGTCTCTAGCTCCATGTCTCTCACCTTCAGCACCCAGCCTTGTGTCCAGAAGTCTGACCATTCATACGAATCGTCCACGTATGAATGCTTGGCCTCTGGGTTTGTGCCTGCAACTTTGAATCACCACTAAGTGGCTTGTGGGTGGGTCAGATTTTGACCTTGACTATCCTGGAGGCTGGGAAGTCTAAGGTCAAGGTGCAGGCAGATCCAGTGCCTAGTGAGGACCTGCTTCCCAGCTCATAAGGGCGTCATCTTTAGCTGTGTCCTCGTGTGGCCAAATGGCCAAGAGAGACCTCTAGGGTCCCCCTTACAAAGGCTCCCATCTGGTTCACGAGGACGCTCACCCTCATGACATGATCATCTCCCCAAGGCCCCACCTCCTAATCCCATCGCTCTGGGGGGTAGGAGTGTCAGGGGGACCCACACATTCTGTTGCCAGCATCTGGGAGATCTCCTAGTTCGCCTCTGAAGGACATGAGGCTCTAGTTCTTCATTCTCTTGTGAGGCCCCACAGCGTGGTTTTTGACGCCATCGAATCTTGAGGAGCGTGAACGTGGCACCTGAGATCTAAGAAGTCACCGGAGTGGGAACACGGGGTCTTGACCCGAGAAAACCGGCCATCTAGCCGCCCCGCGTGGTCAGATGCCCGGGCTGAGGAATGAGAAGTCAGCGGGATTCTGGGCATCAAAGCGGCCATATTGTTTGTAGAAGTGAATTTTGAAATACTAGGGAACTTTCTCTGGGGGATCCCTGGATCTTTGTATTTCCTAGTCTGGAGGTGCTGGGATTGTGGATCTTTGGGATTCCAAGAATTCATTTTGAGGGGGACGATCGATCAGGGGAACTAGATCCCGCACCTGGAAGTGTAAGAATCGGGGTGCTCTGAAAGGCACGCTTTCTATTTCAGGGGTGTGGGAAGTTGGGGAACTGGTGTCTTGGCTCAGAGGGGTGCAGGGATGGGAGAGCCTCAGAGCCACCATGCAAGCATTTGTGGGCACACTGGATCCTGGGGTGTGATGACCTTCCTCGGGGTGTAGGCATTCGAGGCTTTGTATCGGGCGTCGGCGAGTCTGGGTGACTGCTGATTCTGTCTTTCCGGGGCCTCCCCTTGCCATCTCTGTCCTCGAGGGCAAGGGCCCGGGAGTCCAGGCCGGCCTCGCTGGGCCTCATCCAGCGCGACTGAGGGGTACGGGCCAGCAGCGTTCTCTCTTTCGCCCCTTGGGTCTGGGAGGCGGGGGATGTCCAGACCCGGGCAGCAGGGTGGGGGAGGGGTCTTGGGGGTGGGGTGAGGGCTTCTCAAGGCTTCTCAAGGAGGCTGTCCAGCTCCCAGCTCACCACCTGCCTGCCCCCGGACACCGCTGTCACCCTGTGGTTCCTGGCGCTGTCCCTGGGGTGGACCGGCGAGTATCAGGGTGACAGAAGGGGAGGCGAGTGGACCCTGACTCTCCAGCTGCCCTCAGCCTCCCGCCCATAAGTCCTTCCCCTCTCGCCTGGCACCCCAGCCGCATGCCTCTAGCCCACCGCCCACCCCAGGCCCGGGTACCAGGCTCTTCCTTATCTTAGCCACCTCCACTCCCAAACCTTCCCTAGCTCTTCACACTGTACACCTGTCACGACCCTGGCTCCCACTCTAGACCCCTTCTTCCTCCCGGAGACCCCCCAGAACATTCTGCTCTTCCCCAGCGGACGGGCAGAGCATGCACCAACTTTCCTGAGAGACCCCCTCCTCACTGGGCCCTAGGACCCCGATTGTCCCTTCTGCCTCCTGGTTCTCTATGGCCCAGTGCTCTGGCTCTGAGCCCCAGGTCCCATCACACTCCGATGACGGTTCCCGTCCAGCTGTCAGCTCTTGACCACACACTCCTTAAATATCTAGTCCTTCTCAGAACCCTAAAACCCACCCCGTGCACTGATGGTTTCCCAGCCTGAGGCCCCTTATACCTTGCAAGTCCCAGGCAGTGGACCTCTCACTGCTTTGGATCCTGAACACTGATTTCTAGAACCCTTTCTGCCTTTGTAAACCCACACCTCCAGCACAGTCTCCTGTCCCCCAGTCCAAGAGCCCAAATCGCCCCCCCGAAACCTAACCCCACACTGATGGCCAATCCAGATGCTGCCTGTCGTCCAGCCCTGATCCCAGGGGTGGGCTCTGCTCTCGCAGTCCCCAGCACCGGCCGCCGACCCACACGCCCAGAGTCTCCAGGGTTCTGGGCCCTTCCCAACACCCCTCGCCCGTCTCCCCAGAGCCGCAGGCCTGGTCCTCGGCCCCTGTGTCTCTCCGTGTCCGCGGCCCGGCTCCCTCTCCCAGCCCAGTCTCCCGGGCCCGCTGCCGCCTCCGCCTGCTCCGACTCGGCACCCCCTCCGCAGGCGCTGCACCCCCCGTCCAGTCTCGGATCGTAGGCAGCTGGGACTGTGAGAAACATTCCCAGCCCTGGCAGGCGGCCCTGTACCACTACAGCAGCTTCCAGTGTGGGGGTGTCCTGGTGCACCCCCAGTGGGTGCTCACAGCTGCCCACTGCATCAGCGAGTAAGTAGGGGCAGGGGGTCTGGATGGGGCGGCCGGCATCATCCCCACGGGTAACCTCAAGTGTGGCTGAGAGGCCCAAGGACGGGAGGGCAGGTCATCGTGGTCCAGGGTCCAGGGGGAGAGGCAGGGCCGGGGCCGGGCCACCCCAGGGAGCCCTCCCACGGCTGCCCGGGTCTGTCTCTCTCTCCCCGCGTAACTGTCTGTCTGTCTCCCGATGTCCCCCTCTGTCCTGCCTGTGTCCCGGTAACTGGCTCTGCCGCGCGTCTCCCTGGGTGACTGTGACGTGTCTGTCCCCCCTCTCTTCTGCGTCCACGCCTCTGTGTCTCTCCCTGTCCCCGTCCATCTCCGGGTCTCTGTGCTGCCGTCCCTGTCTCTGTATGTCCCACCCTCCCTGTGTCTGCCCTGCCTCTCGCTCTGGGTCTCCGCCTCACTCCCCACCCCATCACCAGGATGGGACTGAGCGGGGACCCCCAGGGAAAAGATTGTCCCCAAGTCCTCACAGTGCCCGGCCCCGCCCTCCAGGACGACCCTGCAGTCCAGGGGGACACAGGGAAGGGCTGGTCGCAGCTGGAGCTGGGTGGGGGCGATGGAGGAAGGGCAAAAGGAAGGAGAAGAGAGGAAAGAGGGGGGGCA